CAAGAATAGTATTAAATTATACAAAAACAATTGCTGTTCGCTCAAGTGTTCCAAGTGCCTTCACGATCGTAGTATGTATTTCTGAAATATATGTAACGAACGTGCCTGGAAATCGAACCTGAGTCTGTGTAACTAACTAGGGTATTACGATTTAGATCACATGAATTTCTGATCTTATGTTTCCGCTGAACTGTTTACACATATTTCAGCGAAAATTTGTTAAAGTTTCATTGCATTATCCTATTTCTTTATTACCATAATTACAATATTATTTGGATTTTGTGTTTAATAAATTAAAAAAACATGATAACATTAACATAAAAACTAAGATATATTTATAATACTGTTATATGTAAATATAATAATGTTACATTGTTCAGTGGCATTCAGTGCCGTAATGTGCACCTCTGCGTACCGCTTCGGGCATAAAACGCATGATGTTATGTTACGTTATGTTATGTTATGTTATAAAAATAAGTCGGGATTTCCCTTCTGACGCTGTAACTCCAGAACGCACGAACCGATTTCCACGGTTTTGCATTTGTTCGTTGGAAAGGTCTCGGGCTCTGTGAGGTTTATAGCAAAGAAAAGCTACATAAAGCGAAGCCATCTTGTGGCGAAACGGAGTTCGCCGGGTTTGCTAGTGTGACATATTTATAATAACAATAACCCCTGCTATTTTTTTTATTTTTATTTTCAATGTACAGACAGCACTTTTCTACAATTTTATTATATGTATAGATATAGTTATTCTTTTGCTTTAATTTTAGTTTTTTATACATATTTCTTATCGTATTTTTTTTCTCTTCTGTGAGACACTGTGTCTCATGTTTTAATGATATTTCCTGTCTCAGGTCTACTGGAAGAAATTCCAACAGGAATAAGTAGCACCTATGTACTCTTATTTTATAAATGTGTTATCCTCTGTCCTGTTTGTGTGTACATAAATTATTAAATAAGAAAAGATTGTTACTGCAAGAATGGAAGGAAAATTGTATTCGAAAACTAATTTACACAATACATCAGTTATTTATTGCTATATATTTTAATGCCAATATATTTTAGAAATATCGACTTTATTACAAAACCCTAAAGTTATAAATCTATCTGTGTATGACATACCTAGACAGATTTCCTTCTTTCAGCCCTACTTCACCTATAAAAGAAACACTAGTACAGATACCATAACCAATACTAGTGGGTGACCCGTCTTAGACACGGCGACCCCTAGACGCCTACAAGTACTGACTAATTACATACAAGCGGCTTACAATGTAATATGAGAACTAAAAATTATATAATTACTAGATTTTACCCGCGGCTTCGCTCGCGTCACAAAAGGATAAAAAGCCAATGTGACATATACCAATACACACAGCGCCATCTATACCAATACTTTTGTTTTTCCTCGGGAATATCAAATTTTTCCGGGATAAAAAGTACCCTATTATTTAATCCGGACTTCTAACTTTACGTCGGCAAAATTTCAAAGCAATCCGTTTAGTAGTTACGGCGTTAAAGTGGAACAAACAAACAAAATCCCTTTCCGATTTATTATATAAGTAAGGAAGTAAGGATGTGTTACACAAAGGAATCAGTAAGAATTGGCCTTGTGTGCACGGTTGGCGCAGTCGCTAAGCGACCGACTGCTACGGAACGTGTCACAGCTTCTATTCAGTTGCATGAATAATGCTCTTAGTTAGACATATAAAATCTAGTATTAGGGGACTTCTCAAAAAATACAATGTACCGTGTATAGTTAACTACATATTCTTTCTTTTTTCTTTTCTTTATTCATATACCAACATCTAAATACATCAAGCTCTGTCTCCTGAACAAGGCGTTGCCTGTATCTCAAGGGGCACTACCTTCCCGTTACATTTCTGGTACGAATAGAGGTTACAGAACAGGGGGCTTAATAACAATTACATTAACATTGTGAGTGATAAGGGGATAAAGGTAATAAAGGGATAATAAAGGAATAAATGTCGTGGTGGCCCGGAGGTTTAAGACGCCCACTTCTCATGCATGAGAATACGGGTTCGAAACCTACCAACGGCAAGTACCAATGTGACTTTTTCCGCGTTATATGTACTTTCTAAGATAATTTAGACACCACTGACAAACGGTGAAGGAAAAACATCGTGAGGAAACCTGGACTTATAATTTCTAATTATAAGTTTGAAATCGTCAACCCGCATTGAGCAAGCGTGGTGATTAATGCTCTAACCTTCTCCGTGTGAGAAGAGGCTTTGCTTAGCAGTGGACATTTATAGGCTGTTGATGAAAGGAATAAAAGTATTTACGTGATAAAACATAAAACTTAAGGTAGGTAATTTATATAAAGTGATTTATATAAAACATAAGGTAATTAAATATAACCAAAAAACACTTTTGTATGTAGACCCGATACATATCCTAGACTATTCCATTTCAATTATATTGTCTCCTATTTTTTTTTTCAGCCTAGCGACTAAAATGGTTTAGAGGCTATTGTATAGTAACTTCGATATTATATCATAGATTATCACCTACATACACTTGCTTTATCATATAAAAAAACATAGTGAAATCAACTTATATTTTCTCTGTACTTTAATTTTTACCTTAAAATTATGTCGGAACTCGATGAGATCCTACTAAAGACCCAAAAACCAAAGAACAAAAATTTTGTGGCACTAAGTTTTAAAAACATTTGCCCTACAAGATAGCAGAGGTGACGAGACCGAGGGATTATCTAAAAGGGATTATTTCAGAATAACATTGACGAGTAGCGGCCATCGGATCACGCAACGACCCGGCACTAATCGCGCCGTCCAATCTATACCTCATTTGGCACTCACACGGCTTCACAGAAACCTTACGACGTCATTTTTTCGGTACTGCACATCAAGCACAAGAACTGCTTACTTCGACTTCCGCATCAAGTAATTACCCGGAATGCGACCCTCGTTAATATTTCTTTCATCCAAGAATCCAGCCGAAAACGGAAAACGTTATTACACTAATTGCCGAAAATTACGAAATTTCCACTCATTTGTCAATTTCGTTTATTAGGAAACACGGGACAGTCATCACTGAGTCATTTATAATTTACATTGTAAATCATTTCTTATTAACCTTAAATCCTAAAATCAGCTATTTATCAAAGTTAAACTACCATATCCATATCTTAAACGGTTAATGTTTAAGTAAAATCTACTTACATATCCAATTTAATATTACATGAAACACGTTAAAGTATTTAGTGGCAGGCTTACATTCCGACACCCGCAAAGTGTGGGGTGCGGAACGCGCTAATTCGAGGCAAACACGTACCGGCTTTAATTCTTTAACTCAATCGATGATGTTCAGTTCTTTTAGTTCGAATGACCGACTCCATATCGTAAGGAAAAAATAATATTTTTTGCCTAGAACAAAATGTTGCTTTACAGTTAAAGAAACTCACTCCATAATATTAACTCTGAAAACTATTCATTATTGTAAATAACTAATATACTCACTCAGTTTCGTTGTTTTCGAAGATGACGCTGCCTTGCGCTGACTCGTACTGAGCACCGTTCTTGGCGGTGCCGTCTTCCGTCCAGTATGGCACCCTGACCTTGCCGCGGGCACCAGCTGTCCTCACGACCCTCAAGTCGTAAGTTCCCACCGACTCCGTCAGCTCAAAGTCCCGTTGCGGGAAAGAGAACACACCCGAATGATCATCATCTAATATCACTACTGTAGCCGTAGAAGGAGATGCAAGACAAGCCCCTCGAGGAGATGTTAGCCGCACATAGAAATGCTCGTCTTCCTCAAAAACGTCATCATCAATCACTTGAACGCTGAAGGTTTTCTCGGTCTCCCCATGCCTGAAGATCAAAGATCCTTGGGCTGCGACGTAGTCTGATCCTGCTTCTGCTGTTCCATCTTCAGTGGTATACTGAACTGTTACTTCTCCGTTCAAGTCTCCTGCTCTTACAACTCTCACTTCAAATGTCCCGCAGTTTTCCATGACGGTGTAGTGGTCTGGATCAAATCTGACATTGGGACCTCGAGGCTCAAGGGATAAGGACCCAGACTCTCGCCGCTGTAACTCTGCTTTAACTTCGCTAAGATCACTTTGAGCTCGTTCAGATATTTTTCTTGAGAAATCCCCACCACCTGTCATTTTACGAGTGGCTGCCACTCGATAAAACGCTCTTGACTTGGGTCCTCGAGCCATCAATGTTTCTAATGCCATCCTTTCTACAGTTTCTAAATCTTCTTCAGGATGTTGTCTTCTTAATTCCCTTAGTACTGTTACATATTCTCTTCTTGATTTTTCTTGTTCTCTTCCTTCTTCATCTTCAGATAGAAATCTTCTCCTCCCGGTTTCAAAGCCATTTCGACGGAGCCATCGCCTTCAGCTTCCACAATTACTCCTCTTTCATTCACTCTGTAGCCTTTCTTCAGATATTTATACATAAGTAAGCGACGGTCGGCAATGTAAGCTGTTAAAACCGTCGCCGGAAAGAAGAGAAAAGTAACAAATCCTTCCCAGACTTCCACTTCATTGGGTGAGATGACAGCCAGTATAAGATACAACCACACATACGCGAAGATGGACCACGTTGCTGTCACAAGAAACACTCTCAGATGTTTTATCTTTCTAACTTCGCCATCTGGTATCACACAACACAGATGGCTATGATCACAAACAAATTATACGCCGCTGACCCCACGATAGTACCGGGCCCTAAGTCTCCAGCCTCAAAATTCTTCCCAGCTATTTCAATTACCGATAATAAGATCTCAGGCGCACTAGATCCTAAAGCCATCAAAGTTAAATTAGCGACGGTCTCATTCCATACTCTAACGACAACAATCTGTTCGCTGCCGTTGCGTCGCACGCGCACCTCTTTCTCTCTCGATGTTATAACTTCTATGGCGGCCATAAATCTATCGGAGACGATGGAAACTCCGATGAAGAGGTACATGAGGCAAAGAAAGTAGACAACACCTCGGAAGGCGATCTCATAGGTTGGCACATCCTCGAGAGGCTGCCAAGCAGGGAGCACCAGTCCATCCGAACATGAGAGGACATGGTGGGGGGTAATGTTGCGCGGAGCGAGGCGCGCAGACGGCTCGGCGCGTGCTACCACGCAGCAAGCCGCGATCGCGGCGAGCGCGGGCCGCATGCCGCGTATGTGGCGGCGACCGGCGCTGCACGAGGCCGGCGCCCGACTGAACGTCGCGACCAAACGACGCCCCGCCCCTCACCCTCGCCCGCTGTTTCCGCGTACTACAGCACCCGAATATACAGTAGGTCGACTTCAAATAAATGGAGACGTGATTTGGTAGTCGAAGTTTATGTCAACATTCGAGTTGAGACTGTCAAAGTCTATGACTGTTTGGTGAAGCTATGTAATCCGAGACTTGGGTCATCAGTCATAAAAGTTTTTGAATAGCATTTTCGGGTGTGTACAGTGAATTTTTGTTTGTAATTCTGTTTGTTCCTGTCTTATAACTGTGGGTTCTTAAGCCGCAGAGCAGTTCCTGCACGCGCACGTTCCTTCACCTTAGTTGATGGAGTTTTATTGGCGTTGCGGGCAGCAACTTGGCGGTGGAAAAAAGCTTATTAGAGGGGCTACGGGGGACTTATTAAAACTTAGTTTTGGGTACAGTTATGTTTCCCACGACTTTATTGAAGTCCATTAAAGGTAACGTTGAGATCTTGTCAGAATGGGAATGGATATTGTGTGAAGGTAAATTATGAACACACTGAAAACTAACGATGGCATAAAAATGTAATATTAACAATATTTTCTATGAACATTTTCTTTTTCAGTCAACATAATACATAATATCACACCTTTTATCCCCGAAGCATATTGCTATATACTGGGAAAAATTCCAGAGTTCCAGACTCAGATTTTTTTAAACCCAGTATTACTTTGCCCAGCTATGACTTTGACTCAACTATCATAAAATATTTATTTAATTATAATGTTTTACCCCGAGAACTTCAAAATTACAGTTGCACTCCTAACCATTCAACTAAAAGAAACTTTACATAACGCATCACAACACAATTTCCTTATAGAACACTCCATATGAACCTTATAAAAATATTCCACAATTTAATTTCCACCACATTTTCATTCGAATAAATAAATAAATTGTAAACAGAACACAGCTGACGTCACTCTAATCGCATTACCGTTCGAGATTCCTAAGAACATTAGGAAAAATAAAAACACTAGAAATTATTGACGGTCCGTTCCTAATGTTATTTTTCACGGCAGCCACGAAAACTAATGGGCTTACCTACTTATGGTAAGAATTAATTCATCAACGGTTCAATGGGTCTTTTTGGAACACGCAAACGTTCGATCGTAGCACCTTCATGCTGATAAGCGAAAGGAGTTTCGTGTAATAAGGGTCAATATAGCTACTGTACACCTTAAAATGTCGCGGAGAACCTCACGGGTAACCGGGGCTCCGGCTCGACGTGCAGGAGAAGGAACGGGGTGGTTTTTAGTCAGTAAGAGTCTGACACTCACCCAGACGGGAGCAGTCATTGGATGATTTTCCCCCCTTAATAAAAAGTACACCTTAAAATACTCTAGATTCTAAGCAATCAAAAGGCAATTTCTCGAAAAAAATACCAGATAAATGTTTTCCCAGTTAGGGAATCGAACCCAACCTCACTGTTGAGTGAAGTTGAGACTCTCTGTTGAAACACACCGGTGGTCACTTGACGAGGAAGCTGAATGAGGTAGCAATATACTTATAATTTTTTTTAAGGGGAGAAATCATCTAATGACTGCTCCCACCTGAGAGAGAGTGTCAGACTCTTACTGACTAAAAACCACCCCGTTCCTTCTCCTGCACGTCGAGCCGGAGCCTCGGTTACCCGTTAGGTTCTCCGAATATACTTATAATTGGATGATTAGAATTATTTTATGAATGGTTCAGTGGGTCTTTTTCGAGCACGCAAACCATCGATCGCCGTGACTCATGACTGTGATAAGTGTGATAACTTCTCATAATAAGACACACGAATATAACCTAAGTCCACGGTTTCTTCCGTTTTTTTCTGTGAAATATTCAAACTGTAACTAATACAAAAGTGTACCAGAACACAGAACATAACATAACATCACGCCTTTTATCCCCGAAGGGGCAGGCAGAGGTGCACATTATACCACTGTACAATGTAACACCCACTTTTCACTATTTATGTTATGAGTCCCATGTAATAGGGGGTGAGCCTATAGCCATATACCGGGCACAATTCCAGACTCCGTGCTACTGAGAATATTTAAAAACCTAGTAATACTTTGCCCGACCCGGGAATCGAACCCCTTGCCCGGCAGTCGCACTTACGTCCACTCGGCCAACGAGGCAGTCAGAAAACAGAACTAATAAAAATATGCAAAACTATTTCTAACATGTCCTGACATATGGTTGGAAATCAAATACATCTAGAACTGAAGAAACAAGTACTCAACATCTCATTAATTCTGGCCTCTTTACAACAGTGGACGTTTCACTAAATACTGGCCTTCGATAAGACTTAGGTACATACTTAATCTCAATTGTGATGTCATAAGATAATCCTACCGATACATTTCATAATGTAAGGATAAACCTGGTTTTAAAAGATAACATAAATTATTTTTAGGCCCATGTAAAAGATGCCTATGCCTATCCATTAACATAAATATTTATGTTAATGGATAGTTGTATGTATTCTTGTTTATCTGTGTTTATGATATTGGTATAGGTATATGTATTCTGTCATTTTGTGAACTATATTAGGTACTCTTAAGTTTTCAACTTATTGCACCGACCACGCTCTCACTGAATCACCTAAAGGTTGGCTAGTAAGAATGCCTATGTAGATACTCTTGTTGCATAATCACCATTTCATCAACAGCTTATAAATGCCCACTGCTGAGCAAAGACTCTTCTCACACGGAGAAGGTTAGAGCATTAATCACCACGCTTGCTCAATGCGGGTTGGCGATTTCAAACTTATAATTAGAAATTATAAGCCCAGGTTTCCTCACGATGTTTTTCCTTCACCGTTTGTCAGTGGTATCTAAATAATCTTAGAAAGCACATATAACTCGGAAAAAGTCACATTGGTGCTTGCCGTTGATAGGTTTCGAACCCGCACCCTCATGCATGAGAAGCAGGCGTCTTAAATCTCCGAGCCACCACGACAATAACTTGTTGCATAAAGTTAAATAAAATAAATAAAAATGCCTTATGCTATTATAAAGGGCACTATTCTAGACTCCATGGTTTTTTGAAAAGTGAGAGGAGTTATGAACATCGTTTTGTTCTTAAATTGAAATTGTTACCCTTTGCTCAGTGGATTTTTTATTAGTTTATTGGCATTCATACAGCCAATTTCAATAAACAATTTATTTTTAAATATACTTACTAGAGACAAAATTTCATTAATTGTTAAACCTGTTTGTAAAATTTTAAAAAGTGTATAATTTTTTGTCTTTTAGTCATCCTAAATTAATAATACCTGCAAATAAATGAATAGAATTTTGACATATTTTTAGAAATAGAAATAGAAATAGAAATAGAAATAGAAATAGAAATAGAAATAGAAATAGAAATTTATTCGCAGGAACATGTGATACAATGGATCTTAATCTAATTTTCAAACAGTACAGTGTATTCCACCTTTTACGGACTTTATAACATGAATGTGAATGAAACAAAAACCAAACAAAATGGCGGTTCTACACTAGCAGCATTCCGCGACACGCGACGCGGTGACTGTCGCGCTGCTCATGAATATGAGACTTTTTTTAAGGGGGGAAAATCATCGAAAGACTGCTCCCGCCTGGATGAGGCGGGAGGGAGTGTCAGACTCTGACTGAGTAAAAACCACCCCGTTCCTTCTCCTGCGCTTCCAGCTGGAGCCCCGGTAACCCGTTAGGTTCTTCGCGACTCCGAATCGGCATCAGTCCTGTTGGGCTCCATCCGTGGTGGTCTGATGGTTCTTTGAGGCGCGCGCTGAATATGAGCCTAGCGTGGCTTGAAACTAGTCGAGTTCCGCGTCAAACAATTACATGAGTAAGCTGGAAACTTAATAAGGATGACTGGAAGCATTAAGTCCTTCTGACACAATTGTGTAAAACTTAAATATATAAATAAATAATAATTAAATTAACTAAAATCGCGGGTTACTCACGTGAATATACTGAGAAAAGCTCTACTAGTTTCGAACCACAGAGGGTTCTTCCTCATGGGCAGCGTGCGCGGTCACGGCGACGTTGCGCAGCTCACTGAACTAGTAGAGCTTTTCTCAGTATATTCACGTGAGTAACCCGTGATTTTAGTTAATTTAATATGTCTCACGATAGTTATTATAAAAAATAACAAATAATTTAAAACAGGAATTTATAATCACCACAAAATGTCGGTTCCACGCTACGATTCTACCTTCACAAACGTCTTGACCCTTGCAAATTAATAACAGAGCATTTATTTGCAGTTATAGGCACTTATGTCATTAAAACTTTCTGTCGAAACAGTTCCATGTCGTGCACAGTTCGCGTGTCCTACACATTGTATTTAATCGTCTTATATTGGACACAGCTACTTTATCGCTTTGACAATAGACGGTATTAAGAATTTTTGTCGTCAACTGCAATTTGTATGTCACATATTGTGCTTTATAGGAGTGGTTTATTGTTTATTTAAAAGTAAGTTTTAACATGTTTTCTATTCCATTCTAGTGAATATAGACAAATAAGAGCGTAGATAATCACTACATACATATATTCATAAATTCACGCCTGTCTCCCATGGGTAGGCATAGGCTATGGAACGCCAATTGCTACAATTTCTTTATATACCTCTTTCGCTTCATTAACAGTCATCAGTCTTTTCATGCATTCTCGTCAGTTAAAGGGTACTTTTAAGATTATTACTATGACTCACTTTTCCTAAATCCTCCTTCCTCTTTTCTTCCTGAATCCTCAAAAGAAAAGAGAACGTATTCGTCCTCGGCAAACCTGGCGTCACACCGTACTGGCAGAAGCGACGAGCATCGATTTGACATGGAGTCAGGTGAAGCGTGAAGCTCAAGACAGATCGCGATGGAGAACTACCGTGAATGCCCTCTGCCCCATCTAGGGGACACAGAATATTAAGTCCAAGTAAG